TCTGTTGGGTTTTTAAATGTAAAATTAGTCAAAAGTAATCTCTTTTAAATATCAACTGCAATTTGAATTTCAAAAAAGTGAGTCTTTCCCTTCAGTGAATTTATTAATGCACCATCTATGTTTCAGTTTCTCTGAATCTTGGATAACTGTATTTGAGTTCACTATTTTGCACATAGAAGTTCATTAGTTGCAGAGAAAAAAGTAAAAGTTTTAGTTTTATTTTTCTTTTCACTTATCCTCTCTGCTCTATAGTGATATTTCATTAAACTGATTTTAAACTCTCATGTGAGATGAATATATTATTTGTAATGTGAAAAGTCACACTGTATAGTTTTTCTTGGTAACCTTTGTGACTTTTCTTATTGATATGTAGCTTTATTCTTACTGCTAATGGTAGATAACATTGTTTTTTACAGATAAACTTCAGAAACAATAGAGGGATTGAGCTAAATTGCCATAGTAAAGAGCTAACACACTAAGTCGTAGTTTTTCTTTTTTTAATTCGCCCTTTCAGAATGGGATGGTGACGAAGGATTTGACAAGACTAAAAACACTTCTCACAGAAACTGAGGTAAGACTGTTTCAGGGGATCTTTTTGGAAGAGTTTAACTCTATCTGGCTAGTAAGCCTTCTGTGTCAAAATTTGGGAAATTCTTGTGGCATCAGCCACAAAGGCAAGGGCATGGAGGTGGGGCAGTGGTACCTCCTGACCTAGTCCTGTACCCAGTGCCACCCTCAGGACTCTGCTTCTTCTCCTGTGTCCTCAGCATCCCAGGTCTCCTGTCTCTAGTTCCTATTAGTTGTCCCTGGACAACAAATGGAAAGACGGCTGGGAAATTTGAGTTTCTAACTACTTCTGGCTGTTAGAAAATGTTATCATTATAAATAGGATGCTTCTCAAGTTTCTGTATTTTTTTTAAGCAAGGGAAGGAAGTTTGTGACTTAAGGACTATTTTTGGGCTATGGGCTTAGGAGGGTTAATGTGTCTGAGGGTAAGTGATGAGCAGAAGTTGCTCTAGGGAGGACCTGGAGACACATGGGAAGCTGGGAATAACAGGGGCGTGTGAAAGGCCCAGAGCTTTGCAAGTCTCAGGTTTCTATTCTTCATATAGACATGCAAAAATATTTTTACTTAGATGTTCTTTTTTAAAAATAGCCATTGTGTCAGCTTTTTATCATAAGTGGAATCGCCTGTAAAGTGATTGATTGATTGGCATCTACTGTGTGCTTGGTACTGTGCTTGCTGCTGGGGCTACAGCAGTAGACAAGATGTCGATGGTTCTCCTCCCTTGGAGGGAAAAGTGTTGGGGAGGAGATAGACGACAAATGTATTAATTAAACAGTCCTAGGTGTAAATGTACATTGAGGTAGGTGGTATAACAAAGAGGAATAGATTGGCTTGGGTGCTCAGGGACTGAGATAGTTAAGCCAAGAGCTGAGAGTTAAGAAGGTGAGTGAGATTGAGAAAGGTGGAGGGGATGTGCAGAGACAGAGGCATCTACTTGGTGGATTCCTTTCCTATTCCAAATCTAATAACCTATTCCAGTTCATACCCACAAACAGCAAAGAGGTCGGTTGTCGTGGACTACACAAGTTAGATGAAGAAACTTTGTTTTGTTATTAGGCCCTTTTTTTGTCATTTCATTTTCTCATGTTACCTTTCTGTGAATTTAAAAATAGTAGCATGGGCTGTGCATGGCTGGCTTATGCTTGTAATCCCAGCACTCTGGGAGGCCCAGGCGGGTGGATTGCCTGAGCTCAGGAGTTTGAGACCAGCCCAAGCCAGAGCAAGACCTCGTGTCTAAAAATAGCTGGATGTTGTGGTGGGCACCTATAGTCCCAGCTACTTGGGAGGCTGAGGCAAGAGAATCGCTGGAGTCCAAGAGGTTGACCATGACGCCACAGCACTCTACCAAGGGGGACAAACCGAGATTCTGTCTCAAAAAAAAAAAAAAAAATAAAAACTAGTAACAGTTTGTTACTGTGGTGGTATTCAACTTGTAAACGCTAGTGGATGAGAGTAAAGACTTGGAACTAAAAGCTGGTTCATGGAAACAAAAGCAATAAATATTCTTTAGTGAAATTTAAAATACATTAAAATACAATAAATTTGATTGTAAATTTATAGGCGTTGCAGCAGTATAATCTTTGGCTGTTTTCCCTGAAGGGCTCAGTAAAGACTGGTGCTCATAACTGATAGTGCCTTTTTGTTTTGGGATATGAGCACATAAAAAGAGTGCTGAGAAAACAAACACAGCCCCTTGAACTCTAAAAGTCTGGGAGAGCCAAATGCTCAGCCTGGCTGGGCTCACTTCCCAGGCTCGGGTGATGAGGCTGTGCTGTGCCCCGGCCCAGCCTGAGAAGTGCTGTGTCAGCACAGTCTGCTCTACTGATTGTCTCAGATGGTGACTGGTGAAAGGCACATGTGTTTTTGTCTTCCAACAATTATTAAGTGTTTTAGGTTTGATTTTATGACAAACACAGTTTTTTCATCCCTTTTTCTTGTATATTTGATAAATTTATTTTGATTAATTTTAAAGACGAGATATTTTAAAATTTTCCTACTTGGGCAGCACCCACGCTCAGTGGTTAGGGTGCCGACCACATACACCAAGGCTGGCGGGTTTGAACTCAGCCTGGGCCTGCTAGAATCAACAATGACAACTGCAACAAAAAAATAGCCAGTCATTGTGGCAGGCACCTGTGGTCCCAGCTACTTCAGAGGCTGAGGCAAGAGAATCGCTTGAGCCCAAGAGTTTGAGGTTCCTGTGAGCTGTGACACCACCACACTCTATTGAGGGTGACAAAGTGAGACTCTGTCTCAAAAAAAAAATTCAGACTTGCAGTGAATTTTTAGCTTTTATATTTATGTGTGCTGTGTGAATGGAATCATATTTTAGGTGCTAGTTTGAGATGTAGACCTTGCTTGTAGAATATAAGGAGATCTGTTAATCTTTTTTTTTTTTTTTTTTTGAGACAGAGCCTCAAGCTGTCCCCCTGGGTAGAGTGCCGTGGCATTACAGCTCACGGCAACCTCCAACTCCCGGGCTCAAGCGAGTCTCCTGCCTCCGCCTCCCAAGTAGCTGGGACCACAGGCGCCCGCCACAACGCCCGGCTATTTTTTGGTTGCAGCCGTCATTGTTGTTTGGCGGGTCCGGGCTGGGGATTCGAACCCGCCACCTTAGGTGTACGTGGCTGGCGCCTTAGCCGGTTGAGCTATAGGCGCCGAGCCTGTTAATCTTTTTTATGAAGCATAGAATGCTTGTAATATGAATAATTACTCCTGGTTTGTCTATGTATTCTCATATTCCTTTTACAAAAAGAATGGGTTTTCTTTTGAAAACTTACCAATAAGTACTTGACTGAGAATCAAAAGGCATTTTCCTTTAGAAATCGTATTATATTGTTTTAGTTCAAGCCTAACCTAAAATGTCCAGTTTAATCAGCCACACATTGTAGTCACAGTGTGGTTTCGGTTATGTCCAGTTAGAATTTATTACATTCTTTCTATAGCACAAATATTCCACATTTCATGTGGGGATACTGTTTTCTCCTTCTGATTCAGTTTACCATTTACTGAACACCTGTCCTGTTCAAGTCTCTAGAGATGTGGGATATCCATGAAAGGATAGTTGCAGGCCAGTTGCAGATGCAAATAGTTAACATGTAGTGTACACAGGGCAGCCTGTGGTCAGTCAGGCTGTAACAAAATGCAGGAGGGAAAGGAAAATACTCTGTAGGGGAAATTCTGGAGCCAGGAGTGTAGGAATTGAGTTTAGAGGACAGAGATAGCTGAGTGAAGACACAGAGGTAACTTGGTAAAGGAAAAGATTGGCAAATAGTTAGTTGGTTCCGTGATAAATGAGGCGAGTGCTAATGAGGCCCCCCTTTCCTGGGACAGTGGCCACGGAGGAGAGAGTATGAGACAGATGTGAGAGACATTCTAGACCTGGGTGGGGAGGATTTGGAGACTACTTAGAGCACGTTGGAAGTGTTCACGATGACTTTCAAAATTTCAGTCTCACTCTCTCTGGGGAAGAAGAGTCCATTAACTCGCAAGAAGGAACACTGAAGGAGGATTAGGTTTGGGGTAAAGTCGATGAATTTGGGGCATATCGTGTTTAAAGGGCTTAGGTTATCATCCATCCCGTACCTCCTGCACACCCATTACTCCGTGCCAGTACTCTGGGAGGTGCAGGAATAGAAAGAGGCAGTTGGAGCTAATTGACCACAGGTCCAGCATGTAAAATGCTACACAATAGTTCAGAAGAAGTGCTTTGGTTGGTATTTGATTGAAATTGGGTATCCAGAGCTTAGGGTAAAGTTAGAGCCAGAAGTGCAGATTGGGGGTTTATTGGAGCATGATAGAATGAATGGATCCCTGGCCTTGGATTCCACTGTGGGAGAAGGGCTCATCTCAGAGTGGGAGGTGGGGAGACTTGGGCAGAAAGTGCCCCCAGGGCCCATACTGGAAGTGTGATGTTAGCGGCAGCGAAAGGCACTTCTGTAATGGTGTCAGGAAGAGGAGAGTGGAATGAAGGAATGGATGGAAGGTGCTGCCCAGTCCTGCCCCTCAGGACAGGGGACTCAGATGTCTCTTCTGCCCCTACCTAATTTTTACCCAGAGGGTCTCTATCAGCCCCCTTAATGAGGGCCTTATAAATACTTCTTTTCCATATTACAGTTTAACATAGAACAAAGACCAAAAATGTCATTTGCAACATATTAATGTTATTAAACATTTTTAAGTATTCAAACTGCATTCTTTTTTTTTAAATGTTGACTTTAATTTGCCATTATTTGGTTATTTTTTTATTTAAAAAATGTCTTTCATTTGGAAAATTGCAGACAGCAACTTGTAATGTCCTCTCTGGATATCATGTGGAAGACTTAGATGAGGGTAAGTGCCAAACTCTCTGTCACTTACGGTAGCTGTGATTCTGGGCTTTGCTTTTTTCTTGGTTACTGGGAGAAACTGTACTGAGTATGTATAGATGGAGATGCAGGAGAGAATATAAACATTGAATTTCAGGAAGTAGATGCGGATGAAAGCAGTTTTCTCTCTGGCACCTTTTCATAGAATAATGGTGTGAAGGAGGCAGGGAGGTGATTCCAGAAGTTGTCTAGTCCATCGTCTTGTCTCCACGGAGGACTACATTTAAACCTCTTTCTGAGTGATTTGTAGAGGGAGGACTTTTCTCCTCTCTCTACCCGAGGCTAGGACAGTTATTACTTTTTGGAAGTTCTGGTCCATAAGCTGAGTTGTTCTTACTCTAATAAAAGTCTGGGACCTCCTCCCCTCTCTTGCCAGAGGAAAAGGAAGGGAAACCAACACTCACTGGCTTTGCTAAATGCTGCCTGGTGGTGCCTTTCACAAAACAGGTACTATTACAGTCCTTTTCATCTTTTTGGTAGATAATGAAACTGGTATTTATTAAGGTTTAGTAGTTTTCCCACAGTCACATAGTCAGTAAGGGATGAAGCACAGCTTTAAATTCAACCTGACTGTATTTTTTTCTTTTTTGGGCCCAGTGACTTGTGAAAAAATAGAAAATAGTTAGAAGGTCCTTGAGAACTTACTGCTGCTCAGCCTCTATAGCTTGGGCCTTTTTTCTCTTAATCCTTATTTTCCTTGACTTATTTGGAACCTCTTATCTACATAGATCAAAGCTTATGGTATTTAGAAATAAACAAATGTTATTTTTTAGCTCCTATCTCCGAATTCAACTTTTTGAACTTTATTTATTGAAAGGGATTACATCACATACTGTGACACTTGTCACAAGAGTCCGGAAGGATACGGTTGGCGAGTTGTAGTTTTGCACTCAGTATGCCGTAGCAGAATCTGTTCTTGGGATTTCCTTCTAGGATACAATAATTTTTTTATTCTTGAAGGAATTCCTAATAGACATACATCCCATGGCTAAGAAATGATAAGCATGCCAACCTTTCTTCTTGAGTTGTTAGAGAAGCGGTTGCTAGGACAGACACAAGATCCCCAGCTTGATTGACTGCTGAGTAACCACTTCTTCCCTCTTGCGGGATTGCTGAGTTTCATATAGGTGACTGATTTAACTTAGTTCATTGGTAGATTACTTTTTTGGAAGAGGCAAGTATGTCGTGTCCTTTTTTACATCATCTGGGATGATGTGTGTGGAGGGATTGTAGTATTTCTTACACATTAAACTATCACAATTACTAGCTAGCCTCAAATGATAAGACTGTATCCTGATTACTCCCTAGGGTCTTGTAATGGTTGGCATTTCCGCCCACCACCTAGGGGAATCACAAGCAGCGAGGAATATACTTTGTGTAAAAGGTAATGTGAATTTTTTTCTTTAAACCAATGACATGTCTTTGTTGATAGGATAGTTTTTCTTTATTTTAATAGTAATTCAAATTTAGAGAAAGTAATATATGAAGGAAGGAAAAGTATAATTATTGAGTAAAATGGTTTATTTTCTTTTGAAACAGAGGCCATAAAAGTGATTGTCATTAAATAATAAAAAATAAAACCATATCCATGAGCCTTCTTTGGATATAAACAACAGTGATCTAAATGAAAGTTAAAACTTCCTTCAAAGTCTTTTATAATGCCCATTGTGTTATCAGGGTGAGACTTAATTGCTGGTCTCTTGTTAATGTGAAATTTACCTGGGGGATGTTGAGTGAAGTTGACATGACTTTATATAATTGAAGTACAGCATGAAATAGATAAATACTAAATTGTTTTAATAACTTTTCTGAAAAATAGGTTTCTCTCATGGAATATAGAATTTATGAGTAATTTATATCAAAGGGCTAAGCTTTCAAAACTTAGTAATTATGTATTAATGTGGAAGGAATTATTAAAGTCACACTTAAGAAGATGAACTCCAGATTTTTTTAATAAGAACTATTAACTAGTGGGATTTTAGATATAAATTTTCACTATAGTAGATTGCTTTTGATAATGAAAGAAATTTGGTGTGCAGTCTGGATGATGGACTAGTCAAGATACTAGATTTGATTTTGTAGTAGAAATCAGAAAAGTCGTGAATGTTGAAAATCCTAGTGGCACCATATTGTAAAAGTTGTAGAACACAATCCTATGAAAAGGAAATATGAGAAAATTTATAGTCCAAATGAGAATGCAGAGCCTTCCTTTATTCTTCTTATTTTTTTTTTTTGGTTGTGGTTTTGGCCGGGGTCGGGCTCAAACCTGTCACCCATGGTATATGGGGCCGACGCCCTACTCCTTGAGCCACGGGCGCTGCCCAGCCTTCCTTTTTTAGTGAAATAATTTAAAGCAAAATGATAGAAAGTTAAAGAAGTTCATTAAGACATAGTTAAAAGAAACGAAAACACATGCTTTTCAATGTGCCTTTTGAAGTGGAAGAAAATTTAATAAATAGTATAATTTTAAGTTAGTACCATCAGGAAAAGCTTTAAGTACACTCACCTTTTCAAATATGGTAAAGCATTTGATAATGTATTGTTGTGCTGTAGTTCATTCTATATTTCTTACTGTTTGCATTTTCTCCAGTTCAAGAATAGTCTGTATCTCTCTTGTCTCCATTTTGCTATTTGTAATTGAATTTTCATTTTTTTCTCTCAAAAGATCTTTTCCCGGTTTTTAACTGATATTTAAATGACGTCATTTAAATATATTACAGTCTTTGCCTGTAATTTTGCGGTATATTTAAGACTTTTACACATAGTTAGTGGGCAAATCTATTATTTTTATCTACTTTTGATCACTGAATTGTCTGAGTCATAAGTGTTGAGAAATCATTAACTCTGCATCCTTTAAAATGATCATTTATGATATTGCCCCTTTGAAGAATTTGATATGACTGCTGAGTAAATTGACGACCCTGATATAAAACTGTCATTTCAAATTTATTTAAAACGTCAAGCAAATTAATACAGTCCAATATTTTTAATGAAACAGAGGTCACAGTAACATAGAAGAGAGTAAAAGGACTACATTAGAAAGTAAAAAGTAGAAGCCTTAATGTGGCATGTTTAGTATGAATTGTTTTTCAGAATAAAATTTCCCTATGTAGAAAATGTTCTTTAGATCTTGTCGTTTGGGAAGTAGGGTGCATGTGCACGAGCTGACCCACTTGATGTCAGTGTTGCTTTCAGAGGACTTGTCTAATAGTTCAAGGCTTTAGTTCACAGAGGAAGCCACTTTTCAGTGCCTCTGGGGAGGATAGTCCTGAATACCTTTTGCTTTAGGATCTCCTGACTCCAAAGAAAGTCAGCAAATATGGGGAGATGTTTTGATTAGCTGGTATAAATGTTGTCTCGACCTCTCCTCCCTCCTTGGTTTAAGACAGTGTGATAAATGTGACCCCTCAGGAGATGAAGTGTTGTTTTTGTTCTTGCAGAAGTCAGAGGGCAGATGCTGGAAGTTGATCTTTTAAAAGGGTTAACAAAGTGTATAATGAAACAGTCTTTCCTATTTTACTTAGATTTTTAGAGCAAGGACTCTGTAGGTATGGTGCCCAGTGTACTTCAGCACATTCCCAGGAAGAACTAGCAGAATGGCAAAAAAGATACGCTTCCCGACTGATAAAACTGAAACAGCAGAATGAGAATAAACAGCTCTCAGGCAGTTACATGGAAACCTTGATAGAAAAATGGATGAATTCGTTATCTCCTGAGAAAGTGGTGAGCAACCCAAACTACACTTTTTGTTTGTTTGTCTTAAACAAGGAACTTATTTGAGTTTTCTGATTTGCTATCTTTTGGTTTATTTCCTTATCTTTATATGAAGAACTTGGTTCTACTAAAATGATGTTTTTAGTAGCAAGCGTAGACCCAATTGTTAAAATAAAGAGCAGAACTGAAGCATTTGTTTGCAGATGGGCTTGTGCTTCTCGTGGGCAGCTTTTGCCTGCCATTTGTGGTGGCGCTTCTCCCTTATTTTATCTCTATTAGCTTCTGTTCTGAATAACTGAAAATAGTCAGGTAAAAATAATAAATATTTTGTTCAAAACAACTGAACGTGAAATAATGAAATTTCTTAGCTTGGCAAACAACTGGGTCATCTTTACTGTTTGCGTTTTTTTTACCATGCTGCAAGTTCTCGTCTGTGCTTTGAGTAGCGGACCCGTAACGTAAACTGCTCTCTATTTTCAGCTTAGTGAATGTATAGAAGGAGTAAAGGTGGAACATAATCCTGACCTGTCAGTCACTGTCAACACCAAAAAATCTCACCAGACATGGACCTTTGCTCTCACTTGTAAGGTATGAATTTTGTACTAATGAAGGAATAAAAATTGGTCAATTTTCTAAACCCTTTTTATGACTTTTAAATCTTGGTGTTAAAAGAGCACTGAAAATGTTTTGATCTAAGTGCACAGTTTCTATAGTGTGCTACAGTGTATTTCTGTATTTCGATCATTAAAAGTGTAATTTTTTTTCAAACTTTGAGACAGGATCTTTGTAGATGTTTAGGATGCTTATTTATTTATTTGGTAAAGAGATCTTGGACATCTTGTCTCCCAAACTTGGAACATAGGATGGGGTTCATGGCTTACAATAAACTGTTTAAAAATTGATTACTTAATCTGGCATTTCTAAGATTTTTTTTAAACACTGACAATTTGTTTTTGCATTTGACTCGATGAAGTCACAAGTTATGTAATAGTGGGTTTTTAAGATGGGATATTTTCTGATGTCATTCCCACCTTAAATTATACTAGTCGAAGTTTAAGATTGAAGTAGAGTAAAAAATTTCTGTGAATATTCTCAATGGAAAAGTTTTACATACTTTTTGGTGGTGTTTCTTCTGCTACACCATTTGTATGTTGAGATGAAAAATTCAAGAACATTTAGCTTCGGCCTTGAACCCAATCCAGTGCTTTCAGAAGAAGTTGCCCTCATGTGAAGGCTTTCTACCTGAGGCTACATGAAACCTTTTTAGGCGAAAAGTATAGAAAGTTGGAGGTTGATGGTTATGCAGGGTGATAGTTTTTGCCACAATGAAAGATGAACATATCACAGAGCAGGGAGGTTAGTGATGTAGCGTAAATATATAATTTTAACAACTGATTTTTAAAATACCATTCTGATTTTTTTCTTAAATGGCTTATGAGCACAATTTGGGTTTTTAACATTATATCTTAGAAACATGGGCAAGTAAGACTCCCTTATGGAAGTATTTTCATTGAAGAGCCCAATTACAATCGGATTTTTTAACCCCCTGTACTCAATGAATTATTTTAACTTCCTTGTAGCCTGCAAGAATGCTGTATCGGGTAGCATTGCTTTATGATGCTCATCGTCCTCATTTTAGTATCATTGCAATATCTGCCGGAGATAGTACTACCCAGGTATCACAAGAAGTCCCAGAAAACTGTCAAGAATGGATAGGAGGAAAGATGGCCCAAAATGGATTAGATCATTACGTGTATAAAGTCGGGATAGCATTTAACACAGAAATATTTGGAACTTTTCGCCAAACCATAGTTTTCGACTTTGGATTGGAACCAGTACTCATGCAAAGAGTAATGATTGATGCAGCTTCTACAGAAGGTAATATTTAGACTTTTTTCCCCTGATACGATGTATTAAAGGCAACATTAAAAGATATGTATTGGCCCCTAAATATGCCATGGATAGGGAAGGAATAATAAGGAGAAAAATCCCAGTTAATTGACTCATTTACTGTGTAATGGGCTTAAAATGGTTCACATTATGCCCTGTTCTCTTCAGCTAGTCATCAGGCAAAGCTTGAACTTTGAGGTTCCCCAAACTTGTTATGAGTAGATGATCAGGTCTGTTTTGGTCTACCAATTTCACTTTAAGATGATTTTAGCCTAGTAGAGTCTTTGAATATTAGTTTAGGTGCAATATCATTTTAATGGTAATTGTGTATATACCTGTAGCATTTATTTTCATGTCCTACTGACTGTCAATTACCTTGGCCAATATTAGCACATTATCTCTGAAAAGTCCTGCATATAAGTCAGTGTGTGCATCACTAGTGTTAAGGACATGCTAGGACATAGGATCTGCTCTGTGTTTTTGAGAAGTTGTCCCTGTTTTCAGCATGTAAGCAAAACATGATGAATTACTATGTATGTTGTCACATTACTGCCTATACCTGAAGTTTATGCCAAGACAAGACAAGGAAAGGAAAGGTCATGGTAATGTCCGTTCCTTTGGCTCTGGGTTGATATATAGGGGTTTTATTTTATTTAACAAAGACTAGATATTTAACAAACCATAAGCAGAGTTGTATGAAACTTGCTGTTGTACTGTCTATACCTAACTGTATTGCAGAGGTTGTTTTTCACTGTGTACCGTGATGTCCCATTCATGAGAACCTGGAAGTTGTTCTCAGGAACAAATGCTAGGATTTTATTTTTTGGACATAGTAAGCACGTGAAATTGATCTGTCTGCTTCTTTACTTTACCTGCTAGTGAGGTTAAAGCAACATTTGTGTTCAAATCTAACAATTAGGTGGTATCTTATATGTTACCCATACTTAATTTTCCCTTATTTTCTACTCTAATCTCTTTTACTTGTTTTTATTCTGTAGTATTTGTTTTTGGCATTTTCTCAGTACTCTTTGGAATCAGAATACGTTTTATTCCATACCCAAATAGATATGATCATTCACAGAAAGTATTTGGTTTATATCTACTAGCATAGGATTGGCAAATTCTTTCTGCCAAAAAGCCAGATAGTGTAATAAACACAGTAGAACCGTCCTAATTGACCACCCAAGTTTTCCTAGACTAGGCATGTACCACATGTACTCAATAGAAATGCCTTATTTTGACTGCCTCTGTGTAGTCAACTTCTAGAGGCTGTACTGTATTTTAGGAGTTTAAGGACACATGGTCTGTGTTGCAGCTACCGCTCAGCATCATAGTGAGAAAGCAGCCATAGGCAATCCATGAGCCAGTGGGCATGACTGTGTTCCATTAAAACTTTATTCTCAAGAACAAGGGCTGGATTTGGCTTTTGTGCTGCAGTTTGCTATATTAGTAAGCTCCCTTTAGAGACTAGAACTCAAAAACTACTAGGAAGCACCCTTTTTAAACTGGAAGGAGAGTCAAATAATAGAGATCGGCATGTATCCCCTGCTCTCAGATATTACTAACATGATGCCCTTGGCTTACATGTTGGTTGTTTTTTAAAAGTTCGCTTTTAGATTGGTGGCTTATAGCTCATGACTTGTTTTCCCATAGGAATAAGCTTGTAGGCTTATTGTTAAGAATCCTAACTAGCTTTAAGATATTTAATTAATACTAAAAATGTTACATGTCGGCAATAAAAAGTAAAAGAAATTGATACTATTTATGACAATAGATGATACTCAGAGACGGTAGTGATGAAGAGGCTTTCAGGGCACTCCTGTGGGCCTGATGAGAGTGAAGGGACTTGGACGACTTTCACTTTGGCCTCAGATACGTTTCACTTTTCTAGTTGGAAAAGAAGAGCAGTGGACAAAATTCAGAGGCAAATAAAATGGATTTAAATCCTCATTTTCTGCTTGTTACTTGTGTGACCCTGGGCAGAATACTTAACATCTTTGAGCTTCATGGGGAAACAGCTCTAAAACGGGACTAGTATTATCTGTCAGAGAACGGTGAGAACTTGAGATAAGCCATGCACAACATGTGGCCCATAGTGAGCACTTAGTCAGGAGTGGCTATTACTTTTTTTTTTTTTTTGAGACAGAGCCTCAAGCTGTCCCCCTGGGCAGAGTGCCGTGACATCACAGCTCACAGCAACCTCCAACTCCTGGGCTCAAGTGAGTCTCCTGCCTCTGCCTCCCCAGTAGCTGGGACCACAGGTGCCCGCCGCAACGCCCGACTATTTTTTGGTTGCAGCCGTCATTGTTGTCTGGCGGGCCCGGGCTGGATTCAAACTCGCCAGCTCAGGTGTATGTGGCTGGCGCCTTAGCCACTTGAGCCACAGGCGCCGAGCCAGCTATTACTTTTATCATTAGTCATGATCAGGATAATTTTGGGCTTTTCTACATAGGATGAAGAAAGTAGGAAAAAAGAGGGAGGGGGAAGTGGTTTTATTTATTTATTTATTTTTTAAAGATAAGAGTCTCACTCTTATTCAGGCTGGAGTGCCATGGTGTTAGCCTAGCTCACAGCAACCTTAAACCTCCTGAGTAGCTGGGACTATAGGCACCTGCCACAACACCTGGTTAGTTTTTCTATTTTTAGTAGAAATGGGTTTCCCTCTTGTTTAGGCTGGTCTCAAACTTCTGAGCTCAAGTGATTCTCCTGCCTCAGCCTCCAAAGTGCTGGGATTACAGATGTGAGCCATCATGGCAGGCCTGGTTCTTGTTTTTTAAGTGGGGACTGGAACTAGAGTGTTAGCAGAGGGACCAAAAAGCAGATCTTAAAGACCCAGGTTATAGCACCTGCAGATCTTGGCAAGGAAATGTAATATAGGAGCTAAAAAAGAAGTTGTCCAAGATGACCTATGTTTTGAGTCTGGTAACTGGAAGGAATCAAATGTCTTCTTTCTGCTGTTTCTAATATATCAGTTTAAGAAGATAATAAATTTTATATTTCATCCAGTTAGTAGAATGGATTAATATAGATAAGGACATCCTCTTCCTTTCATATAATACTATGCTCTTTTTTTTTTTTTTTTTTTTAAGTGACCTCTTTATAGTTTGATGTCTTTATCTGTTTTCCCTTAAATAAGGTTTTACCTTTAAGTAGTTATGTTATGGAAAGTAATTGAAAAAATTAAGCATTTTCTTGAACTAATTTGGAAACATTAAAACAATTTCATGGCAAATTTGTTTTTCAAGGATGAAGGAAAAGTAAATAGTATAAGAGAACAATATAAAGTTTATAGAATGTATTTCTGATAAAAGATTTGGAACATGAGCAGCACCTGTGGCTCAGTGGGCAGGGTGCTGGCCCCATATACTGAGGGTGGTGGGTTCAAACCCGGCCCAGCCAAACTGCAACAAAAAAATAGCAAGTCGTTGTGGTAGGCACCTGTAGTCCCAGCTATTCAGGAGGCTGAGGCAAGGGAATTGCCCCTAAGTCCAGGAATTGGAGGTTGCTGTGAGCTGTGATGGTACGGCACTCTACCACGGGCGATAAAGTGAAACTCTGTCTCTACAAAAAAAATATTTTGAACATTGCAGAAAGAAATTTAAATATAGGTTAGGCAGGCTAGATGCAATTTGGCTAACTTTTTTGATCATAATTCAAATTAGCTGACTTTTGCTAATTTTTAGTTCTAATTTCCTACTTTTAAAATTGATGTTATGGGATATAGTTTCTGTTAAGTTCTTACCATTTTTATTGTATGACTACATTTGTTTCAGTGTGATTATAGAGAGTCCTAACAGAATTCTGAAGAAAGCAGCATTTAAATAGCATAATATTTATTTTCTGCTTCTCTCTTAGTACTGGTCAGTGTTTTTTATTATCACAGCAGAGTTTTTGTCAGCAAAAAATGTTAGGGCACAAAATTTTTGTATGTGAAATCACAATGTTATAAAATATTCTGAGATAATAAAAATGTAAAATGCCAGCGTCCTATTTTGTATCCGTTTCTGGAATCCTTGTGTGGAGAACTTTCACAGACATTGTGAGCAAGATAAGTTAAATTGGGAACAATGTGGTAGCCTGGCTCATTTGGTCTCCAGCCAGCCCTGGTCTCCCACTGAAATTCACAGTAACACCTATGGTTTGGATGTACAGATAAGTTTAGAAGTGCTGGTTACCCATGGTCACATGTAGAAGTAAGTTGAGAAGAGGCACAGGGCACCTCCTGTGAGTACGGCTCTCAGTGTCTTTCAGACTGATTTGATGGGGGACTTAGTGACATTTGTATACTCTTCGAAACTTAAAATCAAGTTGTATAGGTTGTATAGCAAAATTTTTATTTCTCTCAGTGTTCAGTATTGAACTAAAAATCTTACACTTTAATTAATTTAAGTTTGAACCATGGGGAAAAAAAGGTTTTTCCCCCCCCATCATTGTCATGATATGTAAATAGACCTATAAATAGTTTTATAGGCCAGAGGAATGAATTTTTTACCCCCTCTAGTCACTTACAGCAATCCTGTAAACTTTCAGGGAAATATGTATAACTTTAACTTTGCTTTTTTAGTTTTTTCCCTTGTTGATAAGATTCAGGTTCAGAAAAAGGCACTATGCACTAAACCCTTTTTTTTTTGAGACAGAGTCTCATTTTGTTGCCTTTGGTAGAGTGCTCTGGTGTCATAGCTCACAGCAACTTCAAACTCTTCGGCTCAAGTGATCCTCTTGCCTCAGCCTCCCGAGTAGCTGGGACTCAAGGCATGTATCACAATACACAACTGTTATTTTGTAGAGATGGGGGGGTCTCACTCTTGCTCAGGGTGGTCTTGAACTCCTGAGCTCAAGCAGTCTACCTGCTTTGGCTTCCCAGAGTGCTAGGATTACAGGTGTGAGCCACTGTGCCTAACTCTAAAAAATCTTTCTGAACTAAAAAAAATACTTCTCCAGAAGTGCGTGGCAGAAGGCCTTAACAAAGGAAGGAAGTTAGTGAGTTT